AACTAGTTGATGCAGCAGCAAGCGAAAATCCCGGTGCAGAAGATACGGAAGTGGTGGTTGAAGTACTTAACAATGAAAATGCCGGCGCAGAAGAAGCTGAACTTGCGGGTGAAGCACCAGGGAAAGAAAATACAGATGAAGAAGAAAAGGAACTGGCAGCTGCCGAGCTGGCAAACGAAAGTCCAGGTGAAGAAGAAGCTGAATTTGACGCCGACTGAAACGAAAGTGAGGCCGCTGATGACGGAAAACCAAATGAAGGAGCTGTTGAAGATGATCCAAAAGGTGAAGATGATGCTGAAGAAGAAGACCCAAATAGAGATGAAGAAAACGGAGTTGTACTAGCACTAGTTGCTGCATTTCCAGTAGAAGCAGTAGTTGATGATAAAAACGGAGAAGAACCAAACAAGCCCATGCCCGAACTTGAACCAGCAGCCGAACTGGACCCAAACAAACCCGGCGAGGGCGTACCTGAAGACACGAACAGTGAAGACCCAAAAGGGGATGAATTCGCAGCGGCGCTAGCTGAATTCACCCCAAACAACGGCGAACCACTTGCAGATGTAGTGGATCCGAAGAGGTTCGTAGTCATACCCGACCCGGAAGATGATCCGAATAGGTTTGAAGTTGCACCCGAACCGGAAGAAGATCCAAATAGAGTTGGTTGGGGACTGGAACCAGAAGCAGCACTAGATGAAAACCCAAACGACGGTGTAGAAGCACCGGTATTAGAGCCGAAACCAAAAGAAGGAGCAGAAGAGGCTGAAGTAGTAGATGTACCGAAGCCAAAAGAAGGAGCAGAAGAGGCTGAAGTAGTAGATGTACCGAAGCCAAAAGAAGGAGCAGAGGAGGTGGGGTTAGGGTTAGGGTTAGGGTTTGAGAAGGGCGAGGGAAATGGGGAAGAACCGGAAGCAGACGATGTGGTAGCGGTGACAGAGGGGGTGGTGGAAAAAGACGAGTTTGAAGAGAAAGAGAAGAGTGAAGAAGAAGAGGAGAATGAAAAGCCTGTCGACATTGCTACCGGAGCTACGGCAGCTCGTGTACTTCTTTCTTGTTCAAAATTCACCGCCGGAGCAGGAGAGTAGCAGGGGACAGTGAGGGTTTTTCAATGCGAGAAGAAGGGCTTTTATACGAAACTGACCATAAAGAGTAATTTGCAAGGTAAGTAGACAGGTAAGTACATAGTTGTAATTTACACCTTACTCTATATTTTCTTTGTTTTTTTTTTTTGCAAATCATAATAGCCGAAACTGTCTGATGCATATTGGTACGTATTTTAAAACACAATATATCAAATCATTTTGATCATTCATCATATTTGTGTAACATTCAGATGATTGAGTTGGCGAGAATGTGTGATCACACGCGTGTTGAGGAAACTGAATATCATATTTAAATTTATAAAAGAATAAAATAATAAATTTTAAAAACAAATCTTCTTCTTCACTCATGAGTGTTTGATGAAGTTCATAGTCAATCCCAATCGCAGTGGAGTGAGAGAGCATTAGTTGGACCCGTAACGAGGGGTTTTGCTGGGGCATGCTAGTACATTGAGAGGATGGCGTGGAGAGGCGATCTCTGGTGATTCACAAGGGAACGTTGGTGGTGCATAGAAAGGAAGACAATTGAGAGGAGAACGAGGAGGGTGAGGGTGCGAGGAGTTGGTCATGGCAGCAAAGAGGTTTACCAACTGGAGTTGGTGGTGCAGCTATTTTAAAGTTGTTGGATTTGTGAAGGTTGGAAAAAGAGGAAAGGAAAATTGTGAGGGTAAGCAGCGGAGGTGGAGATGGTGAGGGAGAAAGTATATGTGGTCTCGCCGGCAAGAGGAGTTGTAGCAGCAGTTTGGTGGGTTCTAGCTATATTACCGTGGGAATGGAGAGAGGAGAAGAGGAGTGGCGGCGATTAGGTCAAGAGTGCGGCTATTTGGAGTTAAAATTTTATTACTTTTGGTCAATAATTCTAACAATAGTTAATGAAGATAATTATGACATGTTATTAATTAATGTGACATGGAATTGGCGTGTCATCTATTTAAGGGCGAGTGAACTACACGGTAGGATGAGTTTAAAAATGGATAATTTACACAAATCTCATAGTTAATTACATTTTATCCCTACTTTTTTCCAATTACAAAAATCCCTTAAATTTGGTGGAATCGGCATATATAACTACATGTTTCTGTCGTTATGGATAAGCTAGTGGGAAGGAATTTGGGCCAGAAAACTTCTGAGCAGTAACTTGGAAATTTCCTACCTATGTCGGACTTGGACGAAATATGAGTTAGGTGAGGTCTAGGGTAATCCGATAATGGATGGTGGTGGTTGGGGGGGGGGGGTGATTATGAACTTGATAATTTGAGTTGATAGCCAAAACGATAAGGAGCTTGTATGGCTTTACGGAATCGAATTCGAGCGGGTAAAACTCTCGTAATTGATCTTAGCACGAAATAGTGATTTTAGAACATCAAGATTTAAGGGTATGTTGTGAAATAGGGACTTGAACACAAATTACGAGTCTTTGTCTCCGTGCAACCCGCCATGACGGGCCAGTAGCAAGTAAAAATGGGAAAAGTCCCAAAAATATTATTTTCTGCAAACTTCGTTCTTGGAGAGCAAAGGGGCGACCTAGGGCTACTTTTTATTGTTTTTCACTAATCCTCGCGCTTAAGGTAAGTCAATTACTCCCCTAATTCGTAAATTAATTCTTAGAACTTATAATCCTTGCTATTATCCTTGGGGGGGGGGGGGGGTGACTTGAATTTAATGGTGGAAAAAGCGCTAGTTGGGTGTTAGGATCATGAAATTGGCCAAGGATTGGTTTTTGGATATAATCCGGGTAAACTAGGCCACTATTATTGATCATTTGCATTAATTACTTGTTTTAGACCAAGAACAAGCTAAGAGACTCTGGAAAGGGAAAGCTCAAGTTCCTTAAGAGCGTTCGGGCTTGATTTTGAGGTAAGTGATGGTTTGATTTCCCGTATGTGTTATATATGTCTGCTAAGTGCTTAATTGTATTCATGCACGTAGGTGAATAGGGAAATATAAAATGAATCTAATGAAATGGCTATTTGTGATTCATTGTGGTGCTGATTTTGTTTGTGATTGTGGTTGATTAGATCAGGTGTCACGCTCCGACATATAATTGAATCGGGTGTCACGTTTCGATACACATTGAATCGGGTGTCACGTTCCGACACATTATTGAATCGGATGTCACGTTCTGACACATTATTGAATCGGGTGTCACATTTCGACACATTATTGGATTGGGTGTCACGTTCCGACACACTAACAGTTTGAGTGTTGATTCTATGAGAGAACCATCATTAACCATTGCATTTGAGATTGATATTGTGAAACTGATATATTGAGCATGAACTGGTAAATTGTTATTCTTTCTGTATATGTGTGAATTAATATGTTGTAGCTACTTGTGTATGTCGCACTTACTGGAATAGCCGCATGATCCTATCAATACACCGTTAGTTTGTGTACTGATATTACACTTGCTCTTTCTTTGTTAAGTACAGGGCATCTTCAGGCGGTTGTTGAAAGACCTCAGCTAGGAGATCACTGACTTGTTGAGTTCAAGGGTGAGCTAGTTCCTTCAGGCTACCATGAATTCATCTAGAAACTTAGTCCATTTCTTTCGAACTTAGACCTTCCAGACTCTTTATTTTATGTTTAGTTATTTTAGGGTTGCATCCCCTTATCTCAGACCGTTTAGTTAAAAAAATTTGGTACAATGACTTTCAGGTTCTAGGGGTTGAATTTTCGCTTGTTTATGTTTGTTTTTGATAACTTATTGAGTTTACGGGAACTCAACTTTTAAATTGATTATTTAAACACGTTTCCACATCTTTAAATGCCCGTCTTTTGGTTAGTATTGAATAGTTGAGTTGTAGTAATGGTTCTCCCACTGGAGGGTTATTGTGGGTGCCAATCATAGCGGTTTGGGTCGTGACAGCATACATCTCAAAATGTCACAATACATTGCGTCCCAATTTCAGATACATCTCTCAATGCCCTAATACATTGCATCTCGATTTATGATACATCATTCAACATCTTGATACATCGCATATGTCCCGATACACCATGTATAAGTGATGTATCCGACCGATACATAGCGTAAAGTGATGTATCAGAGAATAGAAAAGAGTAGAGATGTTTGTAATTTTTACAAATGATATATAGGGAATTTTAGAGATTATGTATTTACATAATTTTTCCTTTAAAAATTTTCTTTTGATTGAGTTTAAGAGTTCAGTTAGTAAAAAATTAAATAGAACAGTCCATAATACAAACTCGTACAAGTACAAGAGTTTGTTAAACCATTTCGCCTTCATAATAAGCTGCCTTTGGGTCATAGATTTCGAGAGTAAATTTCAAAAAATTATTTTAAATAGTTATTTAATCATAAAATTATTAATCTTTGAATCTTTCAAATGATTTCAACAAAGGCGACATGGATACGTTTTATCACGATTAGTGAGGTTGACCTTATTTATTATAGGATTGGAGTTGCAATGTGAATCTGTCTAACTACAAAGGTATACGTCTTTATTTAAGAAGCATATCACTCAAGATAAGTCAAAATCATAATTTCTATTTGGGCTTATTTAGAAAGTCACCTATTAATTAGATTTGGTGTAATATATTTGATTGGTCATGTAATTAATTGGGAGGGGATAGTTAAACTGTCCAATTCACATAGGAGGCTGTAAATTACCCGTAATTATATGTAAAATAAAAAAGAATATAAAATAATAATAATAACAAAATAAACTAATTATAGAATTATAGTTTATACAACTAAAAAATGCTTACATTACATCTGAAATAAAAGAATCGACATTGTTGGAACTCTTGTGGATTCTAGTATACAAATGACCTATTTTACAAAACAGTCTTATTAAATTTTCTAAACACTTTAGAAAAATTAAGCTATTAATGGACATCTATATATGTGAAAACATTATTTATTTACCCTCTTTTTTTTCACTGTCCAAGTTTAACCATGTTATCCTTCATCATTGACCAAGAATCTTTACACTTGGATTCAATTTTTTGTAGATTGGCTAGGCCAGAGTTGCTAGGAGCCCAAAAGCCATGAAAACCAAGAGGGAAATTCAAATGTCTTGGGACTTCAAGTCTTGCTACTACTTCATTCTTCTCTCCTATTTTTTGTGCATCCAAAATTACAAGATAACACCTTTGTGTTGACACTGCATACTGCAAATTAAATATCCACAGACAAAATCATAAGAATAAATCATAATACTGAAATTTGTTCTATAAATTATAATCAATGAGTTCAACTTCTTTTTTAAGATATAAGTGTAAAAATTTATGCAGTTTCTTTTCTAAAAATAAGATTATATTGATTGATGACTCTTAATTCGGCGAAATGGAAGGCTTTGGTGTATATCAAAATGGAGAATTTGGATCGGATTAGTTCTATACTATCATGTCTTTCAAAGAATATTTACATTTAAGTCTCCTTAAATGTGATCATGTTTAGTTTGTCAATCTTCAAATTAAGACGAATTATCTGCTACAACAAGTAAAGATGACATGCTAGTATAAAAATTTCCCACCTTGTCAATGTATATAAGTGATATAACTTTATAAACTCCTAATTTTTTATACACAATCATATCACTTGAAAATAACATATTTAATTAAATGATATATACCACCGGTACAAAAAATCTTTTACATTAAAACTTATTATATATAACATGTCAGTTACCATTTTTCTCACGTTTACCAATTAGTAACATTTACCATCGATATTTACTTGTAATTATGTTATGAGTAACTCGATTGTATAAATATTTTTACTTAACTAAAGTAACTAAAGGTAATATTCCATAAAAAAAATGGATTAGCTGGTAGAAAATAAGACAGATTACCTACTACAAAATGTTGCGTATATATGTAAGTTAATTACTTACTTCAACCACAAGAAGGTATCCATCATCCTCTTTAGTTCCTCTCGGAATAAAAACAGGTTCACCAATGAATCTTCTTCTACCAGCTGACCACTTTTGGACTGATTTGTCAACCGCGTTTAATTTCACAACTGTGTCAAAAGGAAAATGTGGCAGTGCTTGACGTGAACCTGTAGATGTTGCTGCATAAACATATGTATTTTTTCTGCCTGAAAATTCTGGATTCATAGCTGGGAAATCTGCTGCTTTGTTCCATTGAGGATTTAGATCATTTACTGAACATTTTGTGCAATTCCCTTTTGTATCTAAGTTTATAGATACCTGCATAGCCATAATTGTGTTGCTAATTAATAAGAAATTCACATTACATAATATCTACGTGATACCACTATAAAATAAGAGTAATAAAGACCCATTTCTGAAACATCTTAAAAAAATAAAAAAGTTTAATCATGTGTCACATGAATGAATTGATATATGTATTGATTAGGTCGCGTCAAAATAATTTTTTAAGTAGTGTCACGTGGATATTATGGATTTTAATTTGTACATGTAATAGCCTAGTTATGTTTTTTCGAGATTGAATTTAGTATAAAAATTTTTTTGTGTGTGTGATATATATAGACATGATTGAGTTGCTTTTTTTGTTTAAAAAATAATATTTTTATGATTTTAATATAATAAACTAAACATTAGGAAGAAGACCTGAACTAAGTGAGGCAATAGCTTTTCTTCTCCCTCTTCTACATTCATCATGGAAGGATCAAGTTTACCACTTTGCCAATCATAGCCTGAAAATATATATGGAGGAAAAGAAACAAATTAAGTTTTAATCATCTATTATATTTTTAATATATAAACCGTTTTGACAGTGCACAAAACATAAAGTCGTGCTTGCTTACCAAACATTTTTTGGAAATTGAACCATTGGTAAGAGCAACCAGAAGCCTGAATTTGTATGTTTAGATTTCCATTTTGTTCATCAATTTCTTCAAAGGCATTTCCAACATGTAACACCCACATTTGTGAAGGAGCTTCTATAGGTTTTCTCCAATCTCTTTCTACATTATTAGTTTGTTTATTAGGAAATCTAGGCAGCAAATAAATTGGAGATGTTGGTTTGCTTGGATTTACTGATAGTGCTGATATCATTGGAGAAAGCCCACATACTGCTGTCATTGACCCTGCATTAATGGTGGCGTACGCAAGATTTTCGTGAATATTTTGATAATATATATATGGAGATTCACAGTCAAATATTTATATATACATACTGGACAAGTAAAATGAAACATTTATTTTTAGTATAAGAGTCAAATTAATTACCAGGAATATCGAGTTTGATGCGATTGCCAAACAATATATAGTGAGTATCAGTAAAAGCCCAATCATGTATCATTAAGTGATCTGAGATCTCGAATTCTTGGCTTTGTAGTAGCTGGAAATTGGAATCAAATTCTAGACAACAAAACAAATTAAATTAACTAAAAGTTGAATTATGAATATATGGAGACAAAAATAAAGAATTATTCTTGTTAACGTTGTACTACATCTACATGTGATATTGATAAAAATAGACTTTTATTTTAACATAGAGTTGGATTATTGGACACATACTAAATTTATACTATACTAGGATAATGATAATTTAATTATGTTTACTCCTTGTTTTAGATTTAAAACTTTATGAATATTCTATTTATCAATGGACCCTCTACCCTTATTTATTTATTTATTTTCAAGAAAAGGAAAACAATAAAGAAAATCCTCCCTTACTGATGTCAGGCCTACAAGCAACAGAAAAAAGAAGCCAAAATAATATATTTCTACAATGAAAAAGCTTGTTTTTCTTCACTTTTGCTGTTGCTTTAATTTGCTGGAAGTTACTGTGAAGAGTGGTTTTAAGGGATGAATCGTTTCTTTAATATGAACTTGATAAATTTTTTTCATGAGCTAGTTTTTGAAATTGTGTAAAATCTAAAATTCGTTTCTTTATATGGTAATCCGAAAATAATCTATCTCATTTCTTGTTTCCCGATTTTAGGCCACCATATTAAATTGGACATTCATTTCTTGTTTCCTGATATTAGGCCACCATATTAGTGTGACAAAGTCTAATTAACTCTGCATCAAACATGAATGCAAGTGCAATAGATACTTTAAGCATTAAAAAGGAAGAAACTTAAAGAAGTTCATAAAATTAAACAATCTTACCATAAAATGTAAAATTACTCCTAGGGAGCAACATATCCTCTGCGTTGCATGACATGATCAAAAGTCTGTTTCTACGAGTATCAATCTTGTAATGAGACAACAATCTCTTTGGAGACATTTTGAACACCCCTGCAAAATAAAATATTTACAACGATAAGATCAGAAATGGCATTTAATTTCATTATTTAGCAACAAAAGTAGTCTATCGAAAAGGAAGTATCGTAGCATACATAGTACATACCATATAATATAGGCTTCAATATTTGAGCAGCAACATCCAAAAAATCACTATTACTAATTTTTTTATCTTCTACTTGATCAGAGTTCTTAATTAGTTCAAATTTCCCAAGAGTATTCAAAGTTTTAGAATCAATTTCATAAGGATCACCACCTTCCCACAAACAAAACAACCTACCACCCCATTGCAACACACTAGTATTCGCCACATTCTTCATAACTTTCGTATTACCAACCATCTTCCCTCCTTTCAGTACCGAAAACGGGCCCCGGTGAGTGAACCTCCACTTCCCACTCACCGGGTCCCGCTCCTCTGCTTGAGCCTCCGTCTCAATGTACCTAGCCATAAACTTAACTTGCCCCGTACTACCATCAATTTCAAATGTCCTTAAGTAGCCGTGCCCATCTAGAGGGTGCACTGTTGAACCGTGATCGTCCGCGAAAAGGCCCGGCCCGGTGAGGTAATATGTACCCGAAGGGAAATCGGATGGTATGGATCCCTCCACCACCCGAAGTGAAACGGGTTCGGTAGCTTCGGAACGTTGGGACACAAAAAGGAACTGATAATCCCAAAAGGCAGTAATTGTGTCATCAATTTCTGGTGTGTAAACTTCATGAGTTGGGGACGTGGTGATCGTTATGGCTCGCGCCACGTGGCTCGGCAATGTTAATTGGCTCATCGCCACCGTGGACGGCAGTTTTGCCGGTGGCAAAAGTTTTGGAGGAATATTAATAATATTATGGCAAGCTTTGGCCTGCATTTTGACTTTTGTTTTAGAGTTGGGTGGTACTGGTAGTGATACAAATTAAAAGATCCATCGAACTATCTTATATATATAATATGTAAGTTTACATCACCCTCAACCCCCCCCCCCCCCTCCCTCTCCATGTGGCGGATCCAACTATGGGTTCAAGGTGAGGGCGGATCTATCGTTGATCATTTAATATGACACAATTCAATAGTTTTAGTTCAGGTTATGTATTTATTTATGTATAAAAAGTTTATTCTTAACGTAGTTATTGTTCTTTACTATAATTTAAAACACATAGTTAAAATTCTGAATTTGATTATATTTGTCATGCTATAATATCCAGTGATTTGGAGTCGAATATGATATATATATATATTTCAGAACTCATCCTCTTAGGTTATTAAAACCTATCATGTTTATAAAGATTAAATTTGTAATTGTCCTCGGCTATGTATCTATTGACATTTTTTTATTGAAAGATTATATTATATTATGTGTTATAAAAAATATATTATGTATATATATATTTTAAAAAATTCTAACTCTATTACTTGAGCGAAAAATAAATAAATTAGAAAGAACCCATTTGGAGTGGGTGGTGGGGGAGGAAACAGTCAAAAGGTTTCTTTTCATTTTGCCTCTATTTAATTTTCTTGGCAATACTGACGAGTTGTCCTATGCTTTGTTAAGATCGTATGGAATTGTAAAATATATGGTGGGGCTATATGTCACCATATTGAGATTTTGTAACTTACTAGTATAATATTTACACAATTAAGGTACGTGGTGGGCCATTTATGCTTCTTGCTTTTTCTTAATTGGAAGACAAGTTCCTATTACTTAATTATACTATAAAATATAATATGAGTGCACAAATAATATTTATATTGTTTATTTGTTGTTTGCTACCTTTCTTCAAATTTCAAGGAATATGCCACTTTAGTTAAAATTAATATTATTAAGATCTGCGTAATTCCAAAGAATATATTCATATGGTTTTCTTAATGGTTATTGAGCTTGAATTAAATAGATCGAAGTCTTTCCTTTTTATTTGATGAGCTTTTCACAAATTCGACTTAAATAATTTCTATCATTAAATAAATAAAAGTTGTTGGTAATCCTATTTCATGATGAATTGACAATGGATTATCAACAAATTTTGTTAGCTACAAATTATTTACTTATAATAACGATTGTCACTTTTGTTTTAATTTTTATAGTTTTGGTGATTACATAGATTATATCTATTCACACAATTACCTTTAATGACAAATTAGCGATGAATTTTATAATTAATAAATTCCTTCTTTTGTAGTGTATGTATATACCTCTATTTGCATAGTTAGTCAAATTTCATCTAAGTATATTATTTCATTCAGTCTTATAATGAAAGATGTATTGAAAACACCTCTAAACTCGGCACAAATTATTAGTTTCATTCCCGAACTATTGACAACCTTAAAAACACTCATTTACTTGATTAACAGAACTTAAATACACATCCGATCTTATAATATGAGTGAAATACATCCCTAAACTCTTGCCAAGTTTAGGACTGTTTTCAACACTTTTCTCACCTTTTTATTAAGAGCACCATGCTCCTGCAAGAATTTAAGACAACTTGCTATGTCATGTGGCAGGTCGGGGTTGTATCTAAGTTTAGTTAGTCAAGTAAAGGGGTGTTTTTAAAGCTGTCAATAGTTTAGAGACGAAACTAATAATTTGCACCAAGTTTAAGGGTGTTTTTCAATACTTCTCTCTCTTTTGTAATTGGTATCTCTAGACTCTACGCGGAAGGAAATACATAGAGTGTCTCAAATTAATATTAGCATTGTTTTATATGTGTCATTGAGTGTCACGATACATTATATTGCGTAATGATGAATCCCTATTATATTGTTGTTGTCGTACAAAATCAAAGTTTTGCATGAAAATGATTATAATGATGAATACCCTTATGACTTTCAATTTTTTCTTTCCTTTCGGTTGTTTTGAAAGTTAGTTTTCTTTGCCAATTGGCACCACAATCAACTCAAGTTGGCCAGCAAAACAAAAAAATCATCTAACCTTATGCCAAGTGTAATCATCACTATGTAGAATATACATAATTCCAATGACCAGTTAATAATATTTACAAGTACCTATAGCTAGTAGTTTTATTAATAGTAATATATAACACTACTATATAGTCTAGTGCACCATATATTGTTTTTCTATTTTTATAAGCAAAAAAAAAGGACAATTGGTCCATGATTATAATTCTCACTATACTAATATTTTATATTATATGCACAAATATTTGATACCAATATGTGATGTCGTGGTTGATTCCATCAACAAAGTGACAATAGAGGGTCCACATTGTTCATTTCATGGCCGTCTAATGAGGAATCTTTATGATTTCATGCATTCATCAACTTCCACCATTTTCTATAATATATGATTATTGATTGAAATTGAACTAACCCCAAAATTATAAAATACATAGGAGTTTCCAATTTGGGGTTTAATTTGCATTGACCAAGGTCCAATCAATGATATGTTCCAATTGTGTGGATCTTAGGGTGGTGGGTAGGGCCCGAGCTTCGAGATACAATATCAGATACATTTCGATCAACTGAACTCAATAAAAAAAATTTAAAAATCCTATAGTATTTGTAATAGAGAATTCATCAAATATGTATAAATATTTAGTTGCACGTACGTAATTAAAATAAATGATGAGTTGAGTGGCAAGTTTAAAATTTATAAATTTTAATTTCTGATCTTTAATTTAATCGGACTATTTCTTGGACTTTCAAGAATCAAGGGGAACGATATTGGAGAGGAAATGCACATTTTGATTTGTTTTGTGCAAAGTTGTAATTTGATTTACCCCAAGTGCTTATTTAATCGTACATTTATTTATTTATTTGGTGGCAATAAGGTTTGAACATGAAGAGAAAATGATTTCACTAATGAGCACATACGCACTTTTCTTTTAGAAAAATAAAATATATAGCTCTTGTATTCCATGTGTCCCCTTTTTTAAAAATAAAAAATAAAAAATAAAAAATTTGGGGGTGGAGGAAGGGGAAATGGGGGGATTACAATGTGGGGGAATCAAACTCTCACTAATAAGGTAGCCAGGTAAGAGTTCAGGTAACCAACCAACTAAGCTATTAAGATTTTTCGTGTGTCTCCTTTTAATATAAGGTGAGTAAAAAAAACAAAGAAGAAGATATTTGATCGAGGTACTTGAACAGTAATGAAGAGGAATGGAAGTCTTGAATTCAATTTCTTTTTCTAAGGTTATGTATTTGTAATAGGAAATTTATTAAATTTGTATGTATGAATATTTAGTTACAAATTCAGTACATAACTAAAACGAGCTACGAATTCAATATCTTTTAGAAAAATATTATTACAAAAAAAACTATATTTTTTGTATTCCATGTGTTCCAATTTAACAAGGTGAGTATAAATAAATAAATTTCTTAAATAAATAAAAGAGATTTGGAGTTTCTTGAGGCAACTTAATAATTAATAAAAATGTAATAGAGAGGAATGATGGTCTTGAATGTTGGGCTAACTGCTTCAAGGCGGAAGTGCATGCAAAGAGAAATTTAAAATTCGAATATTATGAGTTTTGAATTATATTTCGAAGTCCAACACAATATATTTAATTTATTTGGTTCCAATCTATATTTTATTTAAAAATAGTAGTACTTTTTTAATTCATAAAAGAGTTAAAACTATCTTTAATTATTAAAATTGATATAAAAATATTCTACGTCTACCTATTAATCATAAATGTCTTTAGTATTAATTTGTGGCTCTTTTTATACATTTAAACTAATAAACCACATCTAGTAAAAATATTATATACATATCTATTACGAGGCTTCACTTAATTGATCTAAATATAAATCCTTGTCATTTTTTTAAAAAAAAAAAACCATAGCCCCGGTTCTTGACCCAACATAATGGGGAGATGCATAAGAGTTCAATTTTTACACTTAAATTTCCAACCCATGAATTCTAGAAACCTCAGTAAAAGGCAAGTTGTTTTAGTTTTAAAAAATAAAATGGTGGCCATTTTGGGGGCGGGTTGGGTCGAAATTCGGTATATGGGTGTTTTTTTTTTTGAAATCTTTCTGTAAGGGTTTATATTTAGATCAATTAGGTGAAGTCATGTAAAAATTATTTATTCTACTAATTTATCTCTCCGTCGAATCAAATTGTTAAAGGTGTAAGTTCTAAGTCCATGCCAAAATTTCAAACTATTTCTACCAATATCCGAGCCAAGAAATTGAGAACATAGATTTAATGCCCTGATTTTTTTTTTATTTGATATAAGTAATTGGTTTAAGTGTACTAGAAAAGGGCCACAAAATTAACCCTAAGATTATTTTTTATTCAATAGATAGATGAAGAATATATATACACCACTTTTGATAATTCAAAAAAAGTTTAACTCTTTTATATATTTAATTTAGTGAAATTTTTATCACATATGTACAAACTACAAAGTATATATATAAGATGAGCCTATCAATAAATTCGTAAGATGTATGCTAGATTTGTCCATATATATGAGTGGGGGAGAGTAATATTGCACTCACCATCTAATAGCTCTTTGTTGCAATGGTATATATTGAAAGTGCTCCATACACATTGTCAGCATACTACATGAGCCTTATTTGTGCACACATATGCTCAATCTAATTAGAAAATAAATAAATTAATAATAATCCTTTTAATCTATTTATCATTAATGTAAGACAATTATATAATTTAATTGATTTACCGTTGCTACTATATATGATATTCTTTTTGTTAATTGATTCGTACAAATACAAAAATGGCATTGTTGCAATTCACGTCACTTGGCTAAGAAAGATTGAATTTTTAGACTAATATACTTGCATTAAAAAGAAGTCTGAACATTCATATTATATAAGACTTTCACGATTTATGAAATGCAACAAAATCTTTTAAGTAATAATTAGCTACTAAGTTTTTTTAACCATAACATGAGTGAT